CATTTTGTGTGGTGTAAGTATATGACTTTGTGGCAGTGAGTTTGGGGTTCACCAGGTCTTCACTGTTCATGTCTCCTTGCCATTAATGAACTCAGATTTGATGGGAGAGAGCAGGGAATAATTATGAGTCCAAACTCTTGCGTATATGTACATTTTCTTTTTCTTTATGCTTGTATTACTTCTTGATTCATGTTAGCATAACAGAAAGCATCTGGGCTAGGGCAGAGAGTTATGGGATGCCAAGGCATAGTCATCATTGTAGAATGCCAGGGAACCATCATATTCATGACAACTCTGGGAATTACTCCCCAAGTCTGTAGTCACACACTTTCCAAGAATGGATCTATTTGGAGGTGTATTTTAAACTTTGTCAACGTCATTTGTATTGGCTTCTTCAGTTGATTCATGTGGGGACTCTGATCGTTGGCTGCTGAAGTACCATCTGTACATAGAGATATAGGGCTCAAGCTGTAAATAGTATGGCATATTGTAAAGCCAGAAAGAGTAAGTGCCTTCTTACATATTTTTGTTTAGTATGGGTAAGTGTGGAAGAACACAAATAAGACTACTTCCTTATTTAGGCCTTCATAATATATTCAAAACCAGCATTTTCTTATATATTTTCCCTGGAGCTCTCCATTTAACCACTTTAAATTGAAAACAGTTTTGGGGAACTGTGGTTACTAATGGTTACACTAATGGTTAGTGTAACAAAATTCTATGAGCCTTACTTATAGGTCTCAATAAGAATGTATACATAATACTTAGCAATAGGCTAGTACCTAAAAAATAATAATGTTGCAATAGTAAGTTAATTGTGATGTGATGCTTATAAAAAGAACTTGCTAGAAAAACTTTGACTAACTATTTTGTGACTTGCTACAGGTTTGTTTGTTTGTTTTTTCTGGAGAAATTCTTTTACCTTTGATTCTACTGATTTTCAAAATAAGGACTGGATAAGGAACTTTCCCCTAACATGATAGTTAGTAATGTAGCATTGCATGGACTAGAAAAATAATTCCAGTAGTCTACAAATTTTCACCAGTCTCATAACTACTTAGCAATAGCCAATGATGCTACCTGTATTTGTGAGAGCTCTGCATAGACAATGTATAAAGAGATATAAGGCTGTAAGTTGTATTTGCATTTGTATTAGCTTTCTAATTTTTGTTAAGCCTGTTTCCTTGTCTACAGAGACTTATTTCTTTGTCATTTGGCCTATGCTGATTAAATAACTAGTTTATAGCAACACACACACACACATTCATGCTGGTAATGTCTTAGTCTCTGATGTGGAGGTGGACACTCATTTCTGCATGGGTGATACTTCATTGTGCCTCTTCTGCACCACCACTCCTGCCTTTCATCTTCCTCCAAAAGCACCTTTGGGTTCTGGCAGCTGCATATGGAACAGCCTTGGAGCCATGTGCTCATGTGCCTTTTTTGAGCAGATATCCCCAACCAACCGCAGGTGCTGCCTGCTCGCTTGCCCTAGAAGCCTGGGAGGAGAGTCACTTCCAATCCCGGACAGGGCCGGGCTGTTCTGCCTCAACAGATGGTCATCATTTGCTTTTCTCAGTCCTGTCACCTGGAGAACTCCAATAATGTTTTATGTTCCGTTATTTACTATTCATCAAAAAGAAGCAGAAAAGGGGAACGCAATGCCATATCAAAATAGTCAACAGCTTCAGTGTTGATGAGCGTGAAACATGATAGTTTAGAAAAAGAACAGAAATGAACATGGCACATTTGCTAAAACGCTTAACTACAATGATCTTGATAGTATTTATTTAATTTTATGGACGATTAAAAAGATTTAGCTATTGGGCTTCCCTGGTGGCGCAGTGGTTGAGAGTCCGCCTGCCGACGCAGGGGACACGGGTTCGTGCCCCGGTCCGAGAAGATCCCACATTCCACGGAGTGGCTGAGCCCGTGAGCCATGGCTGCTGAGCCTGCGCGTCCGGAGCCTGTGCTTCGCAATGGGAGAGGCCACAGCAGTGAGAGGCCCGCGTACTGCAAAAAAAAAAAAAAAAAAAGAAAAAGCTTTAGCTATTAAGCTATTGAGATTTTATACATTTTTTTATTTTTAAAAACTAAGTGTGCCAGAAATGGCCACTTTAATTTTCTAATTTTATATTCCTATATGCACACTGATATTTCTTCATCTCAGACAAGGCTTTTGTCATCATCAACTCCATTAAGCTACATAATGACAGGTCAATTCATTATTTGAATAATTTCCAAATAAATTTCAGTTATTTAAATAATGAATTGCTTGTTATGTTATATATAAATATTTTCTTTTCACTTAGAAAGCATTTCAGAAGTCTTATGGTGCTCAGATATAGAACTCTGGTAAAACTGTCAGTTTAAGATCGGAACATTGAATCTGGCTGATGAAAAATAGAAGCCCAGAATAAATGATCTTCCTGTAGATTATTGCTGCACATAGAGATGCAAGGGACTCCAATTTTGTTCTCAAACATAGTCAAAGGTCTGTTTTGGAAGTTGAGGGCAAGTGCTTTTGTTCTGCCTCCTGGGATATAACTAGATATGTTGCTTCATTCTATTAACTCATTTTATAAGTTTGACACAAAAAGAGAAGCTGACAGAAAATGGGGGTTAGGGTGAGGAGCATGTGAGACCCAAAAGGAGGTCATTGTGGGCAGACCCTCCAGGAGGCAGATTGCTGCAATGTGACCATTGCAATGTGGGCTGTAAGATGATCCCAGGTCTGCTCAGAATCCTTTTCTAGATTGTGAGCAGGGTTGACACCCTTGATAAAACACAGGGAGTAGACCTGTCGGCCTCATTTAACTCCTTCTCACTCTGTGATGACATGAACTGATATTAACATCAAAATACAAATTTTAAAGTGTGGCAGAGATGATGTTCATGTAAGATATGTAGAATTAACATTTTAAGAGAGAAACTGAGGGACCAAGAGGTCAGTTTCTCTCAGGATTCAGAAATCCCTTCTCATAAATACATCTGCTCATCCCATCTACTCTTTATCACCTATGATCGTCAGGATCTACAGGGCAAGGGATTATCACTGCTAATACCTCAGCATTGCATCAACATTGGCATCTACAATTCTTTGGGTGATGGTGGTAAAAATAAAGCTAATTATGAGTAATGAAGGTACTGGTCTCAATTCCCTGGTTTTCTCTGGGCTTCTGGTTCTTGGGGGCTTATTTCCATACCCTGCGTAATTACTTGTGTTGACCTTGATGGGGCCCACATCAGGTGCTGGGGGGAAACCTGAAGCACCATGTGTCAACAGCACTGCAGTGAGCTCAGTGACTGCAAAAGAATCCAATGAAGTCTCAATGTTCCTAAAGCTGACCTTTGTCCAACCTTTACTTAGAACTTTGAAAAAAAAAATAGAGCCGTTTTTTGTGTCTTCTAAATTGGGGCTGATTACTGGAATTCCCTGGTGTGACTGAAGTACATTTCTGACTGAATTTATTGATGGTCTAATAGCATAGTTGAATGTTATCTGAGCTGTTCTTGATGGCCAGGGGGCCTGGTTCCTGTGTCTTACAAATAACTTTGGTCTGCCCATCCCATGCCCTCATTACCTGCATTGGATCTACTCACTTGGTGAGCTGTGGGAAGAAAACTTCTTTCCAAGTACTAAGCAGTTATATTTCTCCTTACAAAGAGAAAATGTTCGCAGCAGTCTTTATTATAATCTGAATGGGTAATCTTGGACTCATGCCCAGCAAGTTTATTCTTGTGTGGAGTAAGCTGATTTTCTAATTTTCTGTGTATCTCTTGGTAGAGTTTACCAAACTGCTTATCTTTGCCAACAACTTCAGCTAGGTCAGAGTTTTGAGTAAATGCAGCAGAGCCTTTAAAAAGCCATTATCTAAAGTTCCCTAAGATCTCTATTGCCCGCTTTTAGAGTAACAATTTGTACAGCACCTTAGCTCAGCCTGTCTTGGGAATGAAAACAAGAGCTGAATTGTGTGTTTGCATCCCCAGAGCCCCAAGCTGTATTTGTAAAGTCCCCATTATTTATCTTTGTAGTCTCAGAAGCTTTGCATTTATAGATTCATTGCATCATCATCTTATGATCATTTGGAGTCTCTGATGGTGTTCTAATTAAAAGCTCATTTCCTAGTTACCACAACACTGTTTTACACCACTTAAAATACCAACCTCCTCCAGTGTATTTTTGGATGTGTGGGTAATGGATTGGAATCTGCAGTGTTGCAGGAACTAAGTAATTTTAAAGCTAATAGTGTAAAGACAAAACGATTCGTTTTAAAGTAAGTTTTCTCATCTTTAGAACAAACACACACACATACCCCATATGTAGCCATATATATTTTGATACTGACTAATTATTCTTTTAAAACTGAGTGCAGTCCAGGGAAAAATTGCAGCAACTAATGGATTCTCTTAGTGTAATTTGATTTGAAGTATAGAAAAGAAAGAAAAAGTGATTTTGACCTACGTACCCAATAGGATGTTCTTACTGTACTCATGGTATCCATGGGAAGAATACTGAAGGAGAAATGGGCAGGTTTCTGACAATCCATTGGAAGTAACAGGGATCTGTGGTCTCTGAAGGATAGGTAAAGGTATACTGCCCTGAATTCTCTTCACCAGGTCATTACAGTGACCCACATGCATTGCTCCAAGTGATTAGAAGATGTAATTTTTTTAAATACCATAGCCATATGTGTAATCTCCTAATTGTTCTGATTTCCATTAAGAAAATGTGATTCACAAAATTTCCACTGTATAAAACTAATTTAAAGTATTTCAGGGCTTCCCTGATGGTGCGGTGGTTGAGAGTCCGCCTGCCGATGCAGGGGACACGGGTTCGTGCCCCGGTCTGGGAAGATCCCACATGCTGCAGAGCGGCTGGGCCCGTGAGCCATGGCCGCTGAGCCTGAGCGTCCGGAGCCTGTGCTCCACAACGGGAGAGGCCACAACAGTGAGAGGCCCGCGTACTACACACACACAAAAAAAGTATTTCAAGAGAGCTTCATGTTATCAAAGTATTTCCTGTGACATTCATGTAAGAGTGAACTCCTTTAGGGTGTGAAAGTGGGTTTTTATAGATCATTAACAAATTGACAGATCTGGAAATAGAAAAATAGAAAACTGATGTGTTAGGAAGCAATGCCAATTTAAGATCGATCAAAAGTGACAAAGTATTCCTGAAAACTTTAGATGAATTAAGGAGAAAGTAACTCAATTTATAAGCCATTTTGCAAGAACATATCAATTATATACCCTTGTACATTGTCTATAAATTCTTTTGGTCTGGCTCCTGCTCTCACAGCCATTGCAGTACATTGAGCTCCATAGAGACAGCGCCGGGGCAAGTGAGAGCCGGACGGGCACTGAGCGACTCTGTGCCTCGCGGAGGAAAAATAATTAAGCATGGGCAAAGGAGATCCTAAGAAGCCAAGAGGCAAAATGTCATCGTATGCATTCTTTGTGCAAACTTGCCGGGAGGAGCACAAGAAGAAGCACCCAGATGCTTCCGTCAACTTCTCAGATTTTTCTAAGAAGTTCTCAGAGAGGTGGAAGACGATGTCTGCTAAAGAGAAAGGAAAGTTTGAAGACATGGCAAAGGCGAACAACGCCCGTTATGAAAGAGAAATGAAAACTTATATCCCTCCTAAAGGGGAAACAAAAAAGAAGTTCAAGAATCCCAATGCACCCAAGAGGCCTCCTTCGGCCTTTTTCTTGTTTTGTTCTGAGTATCGTCCAAAAGTCAAAGGAGAACATCCTGGCCTATCCATTGGTGATGTTGCAAAGAAACTGGGAGAGATGTGGAATAACACTGCTGCAGGTGACAAGCAGCCTTATGAGAAGAAGGCTGCTAAACTGAAGGAAAAGTACGAAAAGGATATTGCTGCATACCGAGCTAAAGGGAAGCCTGACGCAGCAAAAAAGGGAGTCGTCAAGGCTGAAAGACATTTTGCAATCTGATCTCTCCCTGCATTTTTGGATATGTAAATTGGCTGCCAGCTTAATTTTTGGCACCTCCATCTTAAATGCACTGTCACTCTTCTCAGAATGCCTTTTGTCAGACCTTGTCATATGATGAACCCCTGTACATTCTCTGTGATACAGTTCCATTGTCATACATGGTGAAGTTTTTCCTGATTCTTCTAAAACTCACAACTTTGTCATAAACAATCGCAATAATAATTGTCTTCATCTTCCTCACCTCATCATCGTTGAGATTTCATCTTCTACCTTTGGCAACTGCCTTTCATGTCACCATAGTGAGGTCTTTTTTGTGCTTCTAACATTGGGAGAGAGTCACTCTATTTGGTTCCCACATTTACTGTGAAAAGTTGGTGGGAATGCTCCCCCCACTTGTGTTGCATTCTCTTCCAATTTATGCATTGATTACAAGCAGAATTTACCTCTTATCCCTTCAGTAATAAGGCCTTATCCCATGACTTACCGTTCCTCACAGACCTTCTCCTCTTGTGAACCAGCTTAAGCTCTCTGGGACTGGAATATGTACCAATCTGAGTGACTGGCACTGTGCCCTTCTTAAAAGTATTTCTTTTCCCCACATGTTTAACCATTGTCCAGAGTCAAAACTTGTACAATGTATCTCCCTTTTTCAAGGTATATAGCCTAAGGCATTAAAGAGAGGCCCTTATCCTTGATAGTTTAACAGTTTAGGAGTCTTAGTTCTGCAGGTTCATTCTTGTGTCCACTTATTAGCACCTTACATGGATCCCTGGGCTCCTCACTCCACCACTATATCTTCACGGGCTGCGAAGACCCAACTTAGGTCTTCCTTCTGCAACTTTGTTGTATTAAAGAAAAATTTCACCCAACCAGCTAAACCAGCAAAGAAGACTTTATACAAGACAACTGCAATAGGGGAGAGAGATTATTGTAATAGGAGAAAGATTATTGTATTAGTTGAGCTTGAATTCAACTCCACTGAAATAAAAGGCAGGAGTGTTTTTAAGTGCTGAGTTGAGCTAGTGGAAAAGTACTGGAAGACACTAGTGGGGAGATTGGTCAATGTGATTAGGCCATCTGTATCTGCTAATCAGTGCTTACGGAAGTTAGGCTCCTACCTTCACACCGAGACTGGAAATAAGGATGCTATCTTTCTTGATGGTTACATTTCAAAGGGATAGTTCCCTTGTCCTGGAGAAAGAAAGACATTCCTGGGTTATAGAAGATTTATATCTCAAAGGGGCAGAGGAAAAAATTATAAATGACAGTTTTCTAAAGTAAATTCTCTAAGGAAAGGGAGGTCAGGAGACTATAGTCAGGAAGAAACCTGTCTAAAGTTTAGTCAAACAGTTTGAAGTCCATCTTGGTCATATGGATAAGCATAATCTAAAAGGTAAATAATGACCCACTTAACTTGCTTTCATGTGGCTTTTCATATTCCATCAATAACAGTGAAATGGGTTGTGCAGTAGGGCAGGTACCATTGTTAATACAATTTATATATATTTAGCCTAATAATATGCTACAATTGTGAATAATTTCCCTCTTACGTTATATCCTTTTGAGGAGAAATGAAAAAACACTTCAAAATAAATGCTTTGTAATTATCACTCTTTTCTTCCTTCTGACTCTATTTATTATAAGGTGAATGCATTTATCACACAGGCAAATATTTTTGGTTTGATTGATTTGTATTATTGCTTTCTCTTTCCTGTGGAAGTACCCATTAGGGTAAGTTTTTTTTGCAGCATAGAAAATAGTAATTTAGCACCCTAGCCGGGTTGTTCCTAGAATAAATGAATCATACTAAACCAGAAGGCATATAAGTTAAAAAGAAAGGGTAGCAGTCAGTAAGGCAACACAAAGAGATCATAGTTCACCGTCACCATCTTTCTAGAAGGTACACTTTCAAGAATGATTCTTGACTACATCAGATGATTTTTCTTTTTCGCTTGGTGGAAACGGTGTTTGACTTAGTTTCCCGTGCCTGTTATGTGAAATCAATTTCATAAATACAGTTAGTGATCTCAAGGCAATACTGATTTTTAAATTATATTACATATATCATAATTATCATTGTGACCTGACATTTTATATAAAGTTTGCGTGAATTGGGGAAGATAAAGGAAAGATAGGAGTTCAGTCAGGGTACTGAGTTTGATCTCGGGTGGCCTTGGCCCGCAGTGGCTTGAAGCAGGGTTTCGGTTCCTGGCCAAAGATTGGGGTCGGGTCTCGGCAGTGAGAGCACCGAATCCTAGCCACTAGACCAGTGGTCAGTGACAAGGCCCTGGCTCTTCGGCTTTGCAGAAAAAGAATTCCCACAAAGATGGAAAGTAGTGAAACAAGTAACGTGTTTATTAGGAGGAAAAAAGAATACAGTACGTGTGGACAGACACACAGGTGGGCTCAGAGAGAGAGAGTCACGTCTTCGTGGCTGTTTAAATCACTTATATAGGGCATTTCTTCTGGGTTTCTTTGGCCAGTCATTTTGATTTGCCTGGTTCACAGTCCGTATTTGGTTTATCTCAGGATCCTCCCATGTGTGCATGCGCATCTCTTAGCCAAGATGGACTCTACCGAAGAGGTCTATGCGTAGTTAGCATCACTTAATACTATGGGGTGGCTCCCCCTCCTTTTTTGACCTCCAAGGAGCTTTTCTGCGCATGTGTAGTTGGGGAGGTCTCTTGACTTGGAGAATGAGAAATATGTGGTCTCTTATCTTCTTGGGCAGGGCCCAGCCTTCTCCCTCAATTGTCCTGCTCTTTTTGTCTTGGAGTATCGGTCCACAGAGAGCAAATTCCAGTTGTTTGCCCCGGGGGCCCATCTATCTCCTGCCTCAAGTCTAGTGGTCAGTAAAGGCTGTTTGGGGACAATCAATAACTTGAGCTCTTTAGGAAATACTGTGGTTCATTCCTTCACTTTTATCTTCGTTTGTATTGCCACATTTGTTCACTGATCCATTTCTTTCCTGCCATATTGCTCCCGCACTAGCCTGCTTCACCAAACCCCATCACCATTGCCCTCTCTATCTGTCTCAACCCAATTCCAAGCCAGCCTCTCACATCTCAGCTGGATTTACAGCAGTTTTTATTGCCTCTCTAATATCTATTTTTTGCACAGAGTAAGCCTTTAAAAATGTAAACTAAACCAAATTGTTCTTCCTAATATCTGTAAAACTCTCCCATTGCTTCCCAGTGTACTAAAAATAAATTTCAAACTGTGACCCTCAAAACCCAATAGACTTTAGACTCTGCCTACCTCATCCACCTAACCTCTCACCTCTTACCACTCTCCCACTGGATCACGATCCCCAGGCACACTGTCCTTTCTGTTACATATAGTTACCTGAAAATTTTCTTGTTTATCTCTTTGTTTTGCTTGTCAAGGTGCTTTGAGAATATAAGCCCCATGAAGGCAAGGATCTTGCCTCTAATTATATACTGCTGTAACCAAAGCACCAAGAATACCCCTAGAACATTGATATGCTCAGTAGATAGTTGAGTGAGTTGATTAATCCGTTTTCTAAATAAATATCACTTATTGATGTCTAACTGTCTGCCAGGTCCAATGCAACATTGATTGGGAATCAAAGATGAGTATTGCATAGTTCCATATATCAGGTGGCTTACTGACTGGCTGTTATCTTTATATGGGCATCTGGTTATCAAGCTGTCTTTTAGGGTTTATATTTAACTTTGGGGAATCAAGATGAATTGATAATATTCATGAGTAGTCACATACTTTTGGTTCTCTGAGTACACTCTATGTCTACTTCCAAGGAACCTCTTAAAATTTAGCTTCTCTCATTATACACATATTATTTATTCACTTTAATAAGGCTTTATCCATCAGGTACAGAGTCAAGCTTTTTACTGCTTATTATGAGAAATACACATGAGAGTAAGATGTTTACCCTGTCTTCAAGGAATATGAAATTTAGTAGGGAGAGATAAACTTTGTATTCTGATAAACATGAAATAAAGCTATATCTTATAAATTCCATTAAAAAGGCAGAACAAATAATAGAACGATCCAGAAAAGGGAGTAATCAGAGAGGAGATGAACAGGAAACACTCCATTAATAGATATGTTTGATCTTGGGTGTTTTTTTTAATATAACATACAATTTTTTTTTTTGAAGATGGTGGGGGTAGGAGTTTATTAATTAATTTATTTATTTTTGCTCTGTTGGGTCTTCATTTCTGTACGAGGGCTTTCTCTAGTTGTGGCAAGCGGGGGCCACTCTTCATCGCGGTGCGCGGGCCTCTCACTATCGCGGCCTCTCCTGTTGTGGAGCACAGGCTCCAGATGCGCAGGCTCAGTAGCTGTGGCTCATAGGCCTAGTTGCTCCGCAGCATGTGGGATCCTCCCAGACCAGGGCTCGAACCCGTGTCCCCTGCATTGGCAGGCAGATTCTCAACCACTGCGCCACCAGGGAAGCCCCATCTTGGGTTTTAATGATCACTATGATTTCGACAGATGGAGGAAATGACACATATAAAGGAAATGACAAGTTTTTCAGATGAGCAGCAGCATCAACATGAAGTTTTGGAATAAACCTCTATGCTGGAAGGCTTTGAAATGTCTTTGGTAGGTGGTGGGAGCCACTGGAGATTTCTTAGCCAGAGTGCCACTAGCACAACTGTGTAAATTAGACATCTTTTAGCAGAATGGATTGGAGTGAAGACAAACTGGAGGCAGGAATACCAACCGATTAGCAATCTTTTGTGATATGACAGTCCAGAGATGATGGAATAATGGTTTGGTAGGATGGTAGTCTTCCTAAAGAAATATATTCAGGACACACACACACACGCACGGAGACAAATTGTGTACTCACAAGGAACTTTTCCCTTTATACATTTATCCTGAATTGGAGTTATTCCATTCTTCAAACCTAAGTTTTTTTACCTTTATACTTATGAACTATCTCTTCCTGTAGGTTATATCAGGAATAGATTTTTGGGTCCATTTTACTATTCTCATGTATTTAAAAGCATGTTTAGTATCTCTATGTATCCTCAAAATGTTTCACACTTTTGGCAGAGTTGAAACATCCATACTTGAGTTTGGTCTTTATTTTTTATGAATTACTGTCTTGCTATTTATCAGGCTTTCTCAGCAGATTGGCTTATTTGGCCTAATTTTCTCTATAAATCTTTCACTCCTTCCCCTTCCCCCCACCCAACACACACGTGTCACACACACGATTGAATCATACTTGTCTCAGAGATGTTTTGCCATACAAATCACACGTCTAGCACTGTGACATTTTGTTTGTATATCACATTCATATATTTTAGTTGAGCCATATACCAGCGTACCACAGCCCCAGCTAAGGGTGTCAAAGTGCTAAATCCATTGGATGTGTTTCAATTCTTAATCTTATTTGAATTCTTAGAGTATTTGATGCTGATGACCACTCTGTCCTTGAAACATTTTTTTCCATCAGTTTCCATGATATAACATAGACCACTCTGTCCTTGAAACATTTTTTTCCATCAGTTTCCATGATATAACATCCTCTATGTTTTTTTTTTTTTCTCTTTGCCTCTTAGTCTCTTTCTTCTCTAGTGGAATATTCTCTACTTGTCCATTAAATATTGACACTTCCCAAAGCCTAGTTCCCCTTCTCTTCTAGTTCTGAAATACTGGTGCAGTTGTTAGCTTCATTCCCACATCTTTGGCCAGTAGGATGCTCTTCAGGTTGGCTCCTAAATCCTTTATAAATGACCGTACTAGTCTCTGATAGCTTCCTTGCTATCTACTTTGTTGAGATATTCTGGGCTCTCCTTATACCTTCCCTACCCTAGACCGGGGATCAGCCATTTCTCCAAAAAGTCCTGGTTTTCTTTAGTGGTAAATGTGTTTCAAGACTGTAATTTGGGCCCAGTGGTGCTCGTTGAGACAGGATTTGCCATTGTTTCTAGGCTTTTTCATTATATATACATAAATTAACTTTAATACTTATGATTCAGGTTTAGGACTATGTGGTTTTCTTTCTTCCACGTTGAGAATCTTGGTTCTGAAGGATACAGGGGGTGATAGAATTAGAATATCCCACATTACAAACACAATATCCGCAGAATAACAGTTTTAACACTGTCGCCACCAGTATGATTTATATATTGCTTTTGATTTAGAAAATGTTAGCAAGAATACTGATGACTATGTTGTGCACATATTCTAATGATTTAGAAAGTTACAGACCACAGTATCATTTATTTGTTTGCGTAACAAATAGTACTGATTAATAGGAATGATTTTTCCTCAGTATTCCCTTCTCTATACTTGAGGTTGTCAGTGGATCCCAAGAGGACCCTAGTGGGAATTACACACTCAAGAAGTAGAGTGGTATCATTAGGCCCAGTATATTTCACTGTGAGGAGCCACCTCGTAGAGGCTAGAGGTCGGCCCTCTACAGTTCATTATTTTTACTCCTCTTCTAGTAAAGGGAACCTCCACACTCATGAAATTATTAGGTCCATTAGGGATCAGCAATTCTCCTTTTATATGCTTTTCTTCCAGTGAACATAGTACTGATTTTTTGTTTCCTGCTAAGGTATATTTTAATGGCCAATTCCTTGAAAGCTACTTTGAGAGGATCTTAATTGCTGTTTACATAAAGATGGAGGTGTGTTTGTAATAGATCTAGGACAGAAAAGGAGTTTAATGGATTCATTTTGGAATAACACATATAAGTGTTCATCCTTTAGGAGAAAAAGGGAAGCGGAAACAGATTTCAACAGGAATAACGGGAAGGCTGGAATTTTCACACCAGCAGGGTCCCTTGGGTTACCAGCCCATGAATGACCCCCACTCAGTTTTTTTGAGACTCAGTATTTTTAGAGCAGCTTTAGGTTCAAAGCAAGATTAAGAGGAAGGTACAGAGGTTTACCATATGTGCTCCACTCAGTTTTACTGTGTAAACTATTACTTTGTGCAAGGAAATCTTAACATTTGCAGGAAATTAATGAGGAAAAAAGTAAGGTCTTTTGAGCTTTTGTGCAGCGGGTTTTGGGGCAGCTAAACTCTAATTTAACTCTGAAAATATTAAGTATGAAGGAAATAGGAATGATAGTGGAAATCATACTGTATACCTTTATGGGGTGATTTAATAGCTGAGAAGGCCGATGTGTGATGTGTGGCATGTCAAGGATAATTTCTTTCTGCTCCTATTTTAATGAGACATCACTCACAAAGCATTCCTTTCTAGCTGCTTCTAAACCTGAAAAGTATTAAAAATAAAGAAATGACATGTAGAACAGGAAAAATCAAATTA